ATTCTCTTTGTATTCCATTGGTGAAAAGTAGAATCCACTTCAGCAGCTTCTTCCCACAATCTGCTATTTGTGGAATCAACTCCCATGAGGATGCTTCCCTGATTGCTACATTGTTAACCTGTTCAAGTAGAGAGGTAACCATTATCTTCCCTATATATCTGCCTAAACTGTGCCTCTTACTCTGTAACCCTCTACCTTGAGTGGCTCCCGAACATTTTACAGGGTGAAACTCAATGTATAAAAAAAAAAAAGAAAAAAAAAAAGGTTCATTTTGTTGATCTATATTTGTTTAATTAACAAAGGGGAGAGAGGGATATTATTAAGGTGAATGGAGTTACACCCTGTGATATGATGATGCTATAAATGAGATTACCATGAGGGAATGAGAGGAAACCACCTCCCTTTTTATGTGCTGTTCCCTTTAGGATGTTAGCAAATAGTGGGCAGTTGGCAGACGCACTCATAAAGGAAGGTTCATGGAGTACAAATCTTTTGAAGGTGCTTCAGGCACACATATTAAAAAAAAACAAAAAAAAAACAAACAAAATGGCGAGGAGAATTAAATCCTTTATTGTGTTCTATTGTTGAATTTGTTAATTTATATTTGTTTAATTAACAGAGGAGAAAGAGGGAGATTATTAGTGTGAGAGAAATAATTACTCCCAGTGATATGATGATGCTATAGGTAAGATTACCACAAAAGAACCAGAAAAATGTTATTGAGTCAGAAACATAGACGAAGAGACAAGGATGTTGCAGGAGAATTCAAGGATTAATTAATATTGTCTGTGTGGAACATTCCAGTCACATCTGGTGTGGTGCATCTGCTTGGTATTTAGAGATCCTAGAGTTTAGGTTATGGAAAATAAAATTGGCAAGCATGGTCAAATTCCTGTTGAAAGAATTTGTGTTTATTTATATATTTATTAAAATTGAAAGCTGTATTTAGCCTGGTGAGGAATTTAGCTTGGATTTGGCCTTGTGTGGTGGAGCAATGGATAGTGGTTTGGATTAAGGAATTGGAGAGCTGAGTTCAAATTCCAGTTGAATCCATTATGTTCTAATACCCTTGTGAAAGTTATGAATCCTCCTCTTCTCCCCCTAGCTATGTAAGTAGCAGGACAGACCAAGTTCTCTATTCTTGGATGACAAATGGTCTACCGGAGAAAGAAATGGCAACCTACTGCAGGAAAAAAAATCAGGCCAAGAAAAAGACAGTAGATTGACCTGAACTATTTCTAAAATGACTACTACTATCAAGGTTTCACTTTGAACTAGCCACTACTAAGCTGACATGGACTTTTTCCAGACTGCTACCAATATCCGCCTTATAAATGAACATTTTGCTATGCCAAATATCAAAGGACTCGCAATAAATCAAATAAATAAAAAATTATTTATTTTATACCCTTCAGTCAGTTCATTTTATTCCAAAGTTTCTGATAAAATAAGTATACCAAGAATCCTCTGGCAAAACATTGAATATTGCCATCATATCTGGTCTGGTGTTTCTGCTATATATTTACAGATTCTAGATAAAAATCTAAAGAAGAATCTGTAATATTATCGGTCATAACCTGGCATTTCAAGCTCTTTCCCAACACTGTAACAGCTTTCCTGTGGCTTTCCTATAAATATTTTCATGGTAAGTGTTCTAATCAACTTTCCTCTATGGTACATAGACATTTTAGACAAATTTAAGTACAGTACTAGATTGGCAGCTAGGTCTCTTTTTTTTTACAGTTGGAATGATTAGGTGTAACCATAAGTTTTATGTAAACAGTTTCTTCTCTTACACTTCTTGCTTGTGGCACTCTCTTCTAGCTTCTTGCTTTCCAGTCAACTTTGACCTTCAAAAATCCAAATGCCATGCCAATTGTTATCTTGTCTTTTTAATTTCTGTTCTTTCATTTTTCTCTCTCCTTAATAATGTTTTGTTTTTCTCAGATCCTCTAACACTTAGTAACCCCTTGTGTCTTAGTGGCTTTATTGTCTTGCTTGAGGTGAAGTGAGTAAAAAAAAAAAAAAAAAAAACTATGTTTTTATATATATATATATATATATATATATATAAGATAGATATAACAAATACAAACGTGTTTTATTGAAACTGACTGACAAGGTCCAGTCAGATGTCAGACAGATTATACACAATCTGAAAAAATGTCATAAAAAATTAAACAGAGCTTGTCAGTTGATTTCAATAAACATATTTGAATGCTGACTAAGCATACATACACACATATATATATATACATATATATATATGTGTGTGTGTGTATATATATGTATAATAAAGACAAAAGGAAAACGTAGTTGACTTATTTTGTTCTCTGTGTGACTTTATGAAGGCAAATGCAAGGAATTTATTTTGTAACAAGAGCAAACATGTTATTGGTTTTTCAAAATTCTCAAAAGAAAAAAAATTTTATTTTTTATTTTTTTTTTACAAAAACATCACTTACCCACTTTCGTTTATTAGAATTGTATCACTTCACACCCACCCCCTAAATTGCCTGACATTTTCAGCGAACCTGAGGAATATATAAATATTCATTCCTAACCTAAAAATTTTGGGAAAAAAAATCCAATAACATTTTTGCTCTTGTTACAAAATAAAATCCTTGCATTTGCCTTCACAGAGGATGAAATGAGTCAGCCGAGATAAATTTCCCTTTTTATCTTTGTTATATATTGTCTTTTTACAGATATACTCTATCTGAAATTTTGACATGCACACGCATATATATATATATATATATATATATATATATATATATTCACTTGAGGATGAAATGGAACTAATGTCTTTAATTTAATTACAAAATTAAATTCGAAGCTTTTAGCTTCCATTTTGAAACATGGTTAAAACTGTGTAGCAAGAAAAACCATATTTTAAATCAATTAATTTATAATATTAATGCTCTGTAAATTTACATTGAGCACTATTTTGTAAAAATAAAAATATCTATAAGAACACTGGATTATATATCTTACCGTTCTTTCTTTATATATATATATATATATATATATATATATATTAGTGAACTCTCTCGTCATATGAGGGTCAAGCAGCCCAGTTCCTACAAACCGACAGCCCAGACACCAGCACATATGATTTGATTATAATGGTGAAGGCTTTGTGCAGAACCAACCACACTTTTTAAAGGGCCGAATACAGAGACCTGGTCCACTGCATGCCACAAGTTCCCCAAACGCCCCTCCATAAGTTTTGAATTCAGAGTTGTCCTTCTAGACCAGTTGTCATCCAAGGCTATAGAACCGAGTCTGTCCTGCTATTTACCCATAGCTGGAGGGAGAAGAAGAGGATTAATACCTTTCCCAAGAGCATTAGCACACGAGTGGAATTTGAACTTGGCTCTCTGATTCCTCTATCCAAGCTGCTATCTACTACCCCACTGTGCCATATTATATATTATATATATATATATATACATACATACATACATAAAGGGAGTGCTGCAAAAGTAGGTATACAATAAGTATCATACAAGTATTAATGGTTCTAGGATTCATTTAATACATTGTGTACAAGATCTGTTTTTCATTACTGTATAGCTACTTTTACATACCCATGTATATTAAAAATCAGGGTTTTTCGTCTAGATGAATTGCCTTTCTGAGCTGTCAAGCTCTCTCTTCCCAAAGCAGCTGGTTATGAGGAGCCAGTAGTCCACCATTGCACATAATCTGGCTTGCAGCTGGACTTAATTTTAAAATTCTGCTGCCATGCAGTCATATCCAAACATTTTCCAATTTAAGCACAATATTAGATTGATAACAAGCTCTTATTTTACTATTGAAAGAGCTATATGTAACCGTAAGTTCTATGCAAACAGTTTCTTCTCTAGAACTTCTCCCCTGTGGAACTCTTCTGGCTTCCTGCTTTCCAGCCAAATGTGATCTTCAAAAATTTAAATACAATGACAATCATTATCTACTGTCTTCCTGATTCCACTTCTTTTATTGTTCTTGTTCATTAATAATGTTCTTTTTCTTATTTTCCACACTTGTTTCTTCATGGCTTTGCCTGCTTGAGTTGAAATGATTTAATAACAAAAACAAACAAAACAAAGAAAAAAAACAAAACAAAGAAAAACAAAGAACAAAAACAAAACAAAGAAAAAACAAAAAACAAAAACAAAACAAAGAAAAAACAAAAAACAAAAACAAAACAAAGAAAAAACAAAAAACAAAAACAAAACAAAGAAAAAACAAAAAACAAAAAAAAAAAACAAAAGAAAAAACAAAAAAAAAACAAAACAAAAAAAAAAAAAAAAAAAACAAAAAAAAAAAAAAAAAACAAAAAAAAAAAAAAAAAAAAAAACCAAAACAAAAACAAAAACAAAACAAAGAAAAAACAAAACAAAAACAAAACAAAGAAAAAACAAAACAAAAACAAAACAAAGAAAAAACAAAACAAAAACAAAACAAAGAAAAAAAACAAAAAACAAAACAAAGAAAAAAAACAAAAACAAAACAAAGAAAAAAAACAAAAACAAAACAAAGAAAAAAAACAAAAAAAAAAAAAAAAAAAAAAAAAAAAAAAAAAAAAAAAAAAAAAAAAAAAAAAAAAAAAAAAAAAAAAAGAAAAAAAGACTAAACAAAACAAAGAAAAAAAAAAAAGAAAAAAAAACAAACAAAACAAAGAAGAAAAAAAAACAAAACAAAACAAAGAAAAACCCATTATTCCTTAGAAATCATATCTATTTTTTTATTGACTCGTTTTTACAGCTTACCAACACTGCAGGGTTTTAAGGCCAGAAAACATTATTAGATTATAAGAATTTTATGTTTTGGACATAATAATGAATTAGTAATACAAATCTTACTAATTGACCAATATTTTGGGTGGGTGGGGGTATAGAGAAGAGGTGGATTTATACCTTTCCAAAGAGTATTTGCATGTAAGTGAATCTAACAAACCAAACTAGAATTGGAACTCGGCTCTTCGATTAACAATTCTCAGCCATTATCCATTACAGCCCATGGAATTCCCAAGTGGTCACCCATCTAGGTCCTCACCAGGCTCGACATTGCTTAACTTTGGTGGTCATACAGGAACTAGTGTTTCAATATGATTTGGCCATAAGCTAAATCATTTATAATTAAGATTGCACCAATTAATCAGTTGGTAATCAGTAATTACTCACAATAATGATTAACTAAGTGTACCTTAGATGTGGCACAAGGCTGTGAGTAAAGAGCACCCAGTGAAGATCAAACATATTAGTCAAAAATAATTAAAAGCTTTTAACCATTCTTCTTCTATGTAAAATTGTTTAGATTTCAGGACATTGGTGATCATGGCTCTCCACAATTTCCTGTCCTTTGTAGCTCTTAATAACTTTTGTCTTTTTGGCCTCTCTCCCAAATCCTGTTCTGCCATCCATTCACACAAGCTCACCAGGTAGGTTATGCATTGCTTTCCTTTGTCTCTCTTACCTTCAATCTGTCCTGTGAGAATCAAATTTTCCAAGCCCTCTTTCCTCATAAAAAATTAAAAGAAATTATTGTTAAATTTATGCTGAGTATCCTTTTTTTTTTCTTTTTGACACTATCCCAAGAACTTTGTCATTGCTCACATAAGACCGTGGTATTCTCAGCATCCTTCTGCAGATGCAGAACCACATTTCTATAGCTTCAAGTTTCTTGCACTCACTCCCATATATATATATATATATATATATATACACACACACACACACACACACACATACATACATATACACACACAAAACAAACAGTTCAGTACTTGTTTTTCTTGTTTCTAATAATATTTTGGATAGTCTTTGGATTTTCATGATGTGCTTTCCATTCTATGTTAATATACTTAATATTAAATATTGTCTCAGGGTTGATCCTGGTCAAAAATCAGGTTTTGTGACGGTTACACACCTGGCCCAGGGTCGGATCCTTTGGTTACGGCGCCAACGGTGACGTCCTCCTGGTCGTCGCTCCTCCTGGGTCCAAGCGTGCCGCTCCAACCCCTTGGTCAGATGATCACCAGCCTCGCCTTTCCCGACTCGCTTCCAATACCTGGTCACTAAAGCAACTGTACCGATCTCCGGTCTGTCTACCCACGCTGTGTTTAGATCTTAGACAGACGGGACCAGCAGGGATTGGGGCCGATACAAGTTGAGTCCCGACGGGGTGGCAAAACACAAATAAAAAAAAAATAAACTCACGAGAAAAAAATTGCTGATAAAAAAAAATGGGTAACAACCTTTTATATCTTAATGTCCGTTACATAAAAAACAAAATTGTTCTCATTTCCCAACCCGCTCTGTGGACTATGGCACCAAGCTTCTATCACACAACCTAAAGATTTCGAATTGCCTACTTTTTAGAATTATGTATGTCGGAGTGTGGTTCAGTTCGACACTGGGGCTAATTTCTATCGATCATTCGCAGTTGATTCTTCTCTCCGACTTGAGTTGTATTTCTTCTTCTTCGTCGACTTAGGCTGGAAGTTCTCTTGTTTCGACTTGGGTTGTATTTCTTCTTCTTGTTTCGACTTAGGCTGGAAGTTCTCTTGTCTTCGACTTGGGCTGGAAGGATCTTTTCATGAACTCAGCCTGCAATTCTCTCAGGCTTCGAGGCAATCTCTTCTCATCATCTTGGGCTGAACTCTTCTGTCTTCGATTTGGGCTGGAATATAAAAATTTCTTGTCTAAAGGATTCTCTTGCCAAAAAATAAAAAAGTGAATTGGGCCTGATGCCCGCGTTCAGGCTCTATCCTGCCCACGGTTGTTCAACTGCAACTCTCAACTCCAACTGATTTCTGTCGACTGGGGTCCTATTTTTATTGACGCCGCAACAAACTGGGGTGGGTCTGTCGGCGTCAGGGTTTTTTCAATAATTCCAAAAGTCGCATTATTTTTGATTTCCCATTATCGCTATTGTTTTCACCCCTACTTCCTCACAGTGCCTTTTGGTGGGGAGGTGCACACCTCTCTTAGTCTCTCGTATGTCAGGTGACCGTTTTTCAACCAATGGTTCCTGATCGGGCATTTCTTTTCTTCTTTTCTGCAGATCACGACGTATTCGAAATTTCCGACCAATTCTTTTATTGATCCGAGCATCCTTTCCAATCCTTTCGGGCGGGTTACATCGTTCTTGTTTAAAAAACAAAATCCAATTTTGCCTTTTTTACACGTACAAAAAAAAATGATAATCTTTTTTTTTTCTCACCTGGGTTTTGTCAAACAGCCTGCCGCTAATTAGATGTGACTTCAGGGAAGAATATTTCCGCTATCTGTGAACTGAGACAATTTTTTTTTTCACCTCTTTTTGTTTTTGGTCAGACCCGACAGTCAGAAAAATCTTAATTATCTACATTGAAAATATCTTTTTACTTTATCAATGTGGGGGTTCTAATTTTTAACAGGTCAGAATCTGTATACAATTCCACCGGTCCTCCCCTCAACCCAAAGACTTTTTCTCTGATTAAGATTTCGTTTCTATTGTTTTAAAAAATTTCCCCTTTCTCCAATTTGACAATGAGTCTTTTAGCAAAAAAAGTCGGTCATGTGCTCCGACCGATATTTTTCTTTATTATCAATGTTTATACATTCTTATCAAAATGACTTTCCCTTCAAATAACAATCCCTATTGCCCTTTTAAAAAAATCGCCAAGATGTTGGCCTAATTACCTTTCTGATACGTTTTTTTGTTCTTTTTTTTTTATTTTTCGAACCTCTCTTTTTCTTTTTTTCTTTCTTTCTCTTTTTTTTCTTTCTAATTCTATTCTTCCAATTGTCTTTAAAAAATTCAACAACCTGAAAATAAAAAGGCCAAGATATCTTTCTGACACTTATCTTCGCTTATGACTGGGTCATGCATCATCCAACTCTCCCTTTTTCCCTCTTCTTCTTCCTCCTCTCTTTTTCTCTTTTTTTTTTTCTTCTTCCCTTAGGATCGTCTAAGTACAATCTTAGTGAATTATTTTCAACTCAATTATTTTCCGTTTAAAAAAAAAAAATCAACAACTTGTTTAGTAAACCGAGTAAGAAAAAATTAAATCATATTTCTATGAATATTTCTAATAATGCAAGGTGCCACACTTTCCAGATATCTAAATTTTTGCATCTGTAATTTGCATGTTGGGCTGTTCCTTTTGCTAACAACCATGAATTCAGGCTTCTTAAAATTGATGTTTAGTCCTTTCTTCTTGCTTTCTTTCACTACTTTCTGTTCTCATTTGTTTAATGGCACATCAACTCCTTAGGGGGTCATTTAATTCTGAAATTTAATTTTCTTGGGAACTTTGAAGAGTTATGTTATTCTGCTTTCACAATAGTGTACATGGTAGATGATATTCAGCTTTTGTGCATATACATATTTGTATGGACATAATTACTAGAGGCGGTGACAAATGTATTTTATGTTGTAGTTTTGTTGAAGTTCTATTTTGGAATACAATTCAATTTCTTTAAGAAATTGTCAGATATTATATGGATTCATGTCATGAAAGACTTCTTTCATGTTGGTTGATTGATTGATTTTGTTTAGTGGCATATCAACACCTCTATGGGTTATTTAATACTGGAATCTAAATATTTTGAACACAATTTTTTGGCTCCAGTTACATATGAAATGCATTGTTGATCATTTTGCTTTAAAAATATTTATTTTACTATAAATGTATTGTTGGTCATTTTTTTTTTTTTTATCTAAAAAGGTATTCCTGGCATCTTCACCATGAAAATGTATTTCTATACTTTTATAGTGTTTTCTTTTTGTTTAGTAGTTCATTATTTGCTCATAGCTAGGACCCTAACAGGTCAGGGTAGACTTGGGAACAGCAGCAATTAAAAGGTGGTTCCACACTCCTCAAAACCTCAAATCTCACAATCAGAGACCTTGCTGCCAGATGTAGTTTATCGTCATACCAGAAGTTCCTTTCTGCATCTGCTATCAACATTGTATTATCTGCATATCTTATTTTATTAAGATTGTAACTGCCAATAAAGAATCCTAGTAGAATTTTTTTAATAATTACATGTGAATTACTCATAATAAATATTAGTAAAAACTTATTTGAATATTATTTAAATTCATTCTATGCCTAACATAACTGGCGTCCTGGGGAAGATGTTAAACTACATCCACATCCTGGGTAAGACATTAAACTACGTCCAACAGCAAGGCCTCTGATCAGGTTTTGAGAAGCATGGAACCACCTCTTAATTGCTGGTGTTCCAAGGTCCACCCTGACATGGGGTGGTAGAACCTGTTAGGGTCCCCGCTATGGGAAAATAGTTAACTATTACCAGCAATACTTTTTTGAGAAGGTTATTACCAGCAATACAATTTTGAAGGAAAAATATTACCAGAAACAGATTTTTGACAAAAACAAAATATTACCAGCAATAAAGAATTTTTTCAGCATTGAGTAGCCCATTGGGGTTACTGTGCTGTGGGACAAAATAAACCAAAGAATACATATTCTATTCCTATGAATCTATCCTAAAAATGTTGTTGGCATTAAATAACTGTTATACCATAATACCTATTCTATTGTAATGGACTCTCCCACAGATAATAAGTAGTAGTAGTAGCAGTGGCCAGTTGGGCTCAGTGGTGTTGAGCGAGTCAGTCGACATCAGACATTGAAGTACTAACCATCACAACTAGATTGATGCGTCATTAACTCTTATTTCAAGTTCCTAACATTTTGTGCGTTGGACCTAATTTAGGACGACTTATTGAAATACAAGCCTCCACTGTGAAAACTACTCTACAACAATAACCCATTGAGGTTGATATGCCGTAAAACAAACCAAACCAAACATAACTGATAACACTTAAACCAGGAATTAAATGTCGTAATCGTCATAAATGACTGAATGGAAAAACTAGGAGAGGAGGGGTGACTAATGACTAGTTAGTGATTATCATTCAATTAAGCAACCCATATATATGTAATAAAATATTGTTGTGCCAACTAAATGTAAGTATTTGGTCTTGGTAAAAACCATACTTCTTGGAACCTTGTGGACTGGTGCTAGAGTATCACAAAGAACTGTACCAAATAACCAAAATTACATTACTTGAGGAGTTTCACTGGCCATCATAGCTTGGCTCTG